CAATGATTTTTTTCCCAGTGATAATTCTGATCCATTCATGAGTCTAAAAGCCTCAGGGTAGAAGCTGTTCCTCAGTCTAGTGGTTCTACACTTAATGCTCCTCAACCTCCTGTCTGAGGGGAGTGGGGCAAAAAGTGTGTGTGCTGGGTGAGTGGGGTCCTTCATGATGCAGGTGGCCCTCTTCCTGCATCTGGAGGTGTAGATGTCTATGATGGTGGGGAGACTGACTCCGACAGTCTTCTGTGCAGCCTTCACCACTCTCTGCAAAGCTTTTCTTTCTGCAGCTGTACAGCCTCCATGCCACACGTTGATGCTGGAGCACATGATGCTCTCCACTGCACACCTGTAGAAGGAGGTGAGGACTGAGCTTCCCAGACCAGCTCATCTCATCCGCCTGAGGAAGTAGAGTCTGTGATGAGCTTTCTTCATCAGACTTGTGGTGTTGTTGCTCCAGCTGATGTTGTTGTTTAGGTGCACACCCAAGTACTTGTAACTGGAGACCACTTCCACCGCAGATCCTCCTATATTTGGGGGTGGGGTGTCTTTTCCATCTGAAGTCCACGATCATCTCCTTCATCTTCTCCTTCGTCTTCTTCACATTGATGTGGAGGTTGTTCTTCCTGCACAAGCTCTCCAGGTGTTCCACCTCCTGCCTGTAGCTGGACTCCTTGTTGTTTGTGATGCATCCCACCACCACTGTTTCATCTGCAAACTTTACAATGTGACAGCCTGGATGGGTAGCTGCACAGTCGTATGTGAGAAGAGTGAACAGGAGGGGGCTCAGCACACAGCCCTGAGGGGAGCCAGAGCTGAGGGTTAAGGTGGAGGAGGAGAAGTTGTGGATCCTCACAGACTGAGGTCTGTTGGTTAAGAAGTCTAGCACCCAGTTGCAAATGGAGGAGCTTAGTCCTAGTGTAAGTAGTTTGTCCATCAGGGTTTGGGGGATCGTGGAATTAAAGGCAGGCGTGAAATCCACAAAAAGCACAAGGACCTAGGAGTCCTTCTGCTCCTGGTGGGTGAGAGCAGGATCACAGAGAAGATGGCATCCTCTGTTGATCTTGAGACTTAACCAGAACTGCATTATAACACCATGCACTGAATGAGGGGGAAAAAAGACTGTTCCTTCCTATTTGTCCTATAAAGTATTCTCTGCCTATTCAGAGACTTCATCAGCGACCTTCTGGTCATACAGGTCCTTCTCAAAAAATTAGCATATTGTGATAAAGGTCATTATTTTCCATAATATAATGATAAAAATGAAACTTTCATATATTTCAGATTCATTGCACACC